CGAAAATTCTGTTTCTTTGTTACTAATGATGTGGCCCCACCCCATAACAAAGAAACAGAATTTCCGGAGGATGAGGCCCAGGAATCAGGATTTTTAAAGGATTCCCAGGTGATTCTAATGTGCAGCCAAGGCTGAGAACCACTGCTCTAGAGCTTCCAGAAAAAAAGAAAGCAGCCTGCTGACTCTGACTTCAGCCCCTGGAGACGTGGGGATGACTTTCCGCCTGTGGAAATGTAAGATCAACTTGAGTTGGTTTAAGCCACTACACTTGAGGCAACTTGTTATAGAAGTGACAGAAAGACAATATGCTGTTATTTTTTCCTTTTCTTTCTGTTTATAACAGATTAAAGAAACCGAGAATCAAAAAAAATTGTCTTCTTCGGAGTCTGTCAGCTACCACCAAACAAAAGCCCGAGCTCCTAACTCAGGCTCCAGCTGCCGGGAGCAGCAGTGGTGACCAGCGAGCCGGGGGCAGGTTGTGGGGTTGTGCTGTGGAAGGGCCCTGATTTCTCGCTGCAGCAAAACCCACCCCTGAGGCCATGCCCGCCGCCCGCCACCTGCCTTCAGGTTCTAGCAGGCCGGTCGAGCGTGCATCCCTCAGAAAGTGCCTGGGGAGCGTTGAGAGAGCTGCTAACTTGTGTCAGAGCCACATTAATCAGAGACGTAACCGGGGAGGGAGAGATTTTTCATTTCTCAAGTTAATGAACAAACGGATTTCCCATTCATTATGCATGGGCTTTCCAAGCGTAATGAATAGCTCAGGGACAAGCATGAAGTTTCGGTATTTATAGAAAATCAGCACCCGCCAGGTTCAGGCGGCATCACGTATTCCAGTAGCGGTTTAGTATGCGTGATGGATCTCACTTATTACTTCACCTGGTGTTTATCAACTTTACATTTTTAATGCGTGAGAAGTGATGAATTCGTTGAGAATGCCCCCGCTCCCCACTCCGCGTTGGTTTTGTTCCTTTGTGGCAATCAGATGCAAGTTCCCAGGAGCCTCAAGGCCTGCTGTCCGGGTCTGAGCTCCCAATGCTTTTGCTTGTCTGTCTGTCTGTTTTGTTTGTTTGTTTCCAGGAGAACTAAGTTGCCTCTTGATATTCATCAGCCGTTTTCCATTCATTTCTGCTGCTGCTTCTGCTTGGAAATTAATCTCTTTCCTTCTCTCCCCTCCAGAGGAAGAGCGTGGTGGGTCCTGTGTTCAAGGCTGAGGTCAGCCATCAGGAGACAGGACTGCTGACGACTAGATCTTGGTGTTCACTGCCAACCAGTAGCAGAACTAGAAGAAACAGAATGAAACTCCGCCTCCCAGCCCTCACCCTTTCCCACGGCTACAACCACAGACATTTACAGAGAATAAACTCGAGATGCTTTCAAAAGGAAAAGAACAAAAACAACCATGAGGCTGACATTACACAACAAAGCCTATCGCTACATCGTTACTGTAATAGTATTACACTCAGCACAGCTTTGGTTGAGGGAGGAACTAAACACGCCGGAGGCAGGAGCGTGAGCCCGTGTCACTTTCTCTAATGGAACCGGCTGTTATGGTAGGTTTTTTCCCCTGAGTTTGGTTTTCTTCAGCGTGTAAGTCGGATTCGGTCTTTTTGCCATTTTCCACCACCGCAGCCTCCTGCTTCCGTCCCACGTGGAGCGCCATCCTGCTGCTGCGAGGACTCAGCTCCATCCCGGGGTCCCTCGCCAGCCTGAACCCCCCATCTCGCTCCATCTGGGGCCTGTGCACGGCTGGCTCCACGTCAGTTATGTTTGGGAGTGGGAGGTGAGGGGCTGCCTCTCCTTTCTCTGCGTGAACCCGTCCCCAGGCTGCCTTCCCCACAGCCATTTCCTGCTCCCAGCAGCTCAGCCAGGTCAGCAAGCCCGGGGGGGGTCTCCTACTGGGGAGCAGTCCAGTCACCCCTTACAGAACCTCCAGGTTGGTCCAGGTTTTACCAGAGGCTCCTCAGGGGCCCCCCTCTTTGGGATTCCCCAGCCCATCATGAACAGCTGGCAATCATTTTATTTATGTACAACTATAGGCCTGGTGCATGAATTCGTGCATGGGTGGCCAGCCAGGGGGAGGGGCTGCAGGAGGTTGGCCTATTGGGATGGGAGGTGTGATCAGGGGCGTGGCAGGCTGGGGGGAAGGCCCCGCCCTCAATCGGGGTGGGAGAGTCTGATCAGGGATGAGGCCAAGGGCTGCAGGAGATTGGCTGGCCAGCCCCACCCCCTGGTCAAACTCCTGGTGGAGGGGACAATTTGCATATTAGCCTTTTATTATATAGGATTTCACCTGTGCCTTACAAGATGCTGTAAATTTCTTGAAAGCAGGAAACTTGCCTATTGTGTCCTTCACTGGATACTCTGCTTCCAGCACAGTGTACCTTCAGTGCCTCCCACAATCCTCTGTTCTGGGGAAGGATGGA